AAAAATGGGTAATCTCCACCTGTGTGATTTACAGCCTCAGAAACCCACTCGCTGGACAGTCCATCAAGAGTCACTTCCCACCGGATGACAATGAGTGAGTGAGTTAGCGCAATGGCTATCATGTACTCTGGTAATGGCACTGCTTTTTGCCATCACTGGTACTGTCATAAAGGGAGCTCTGGTGGCCTAGTGCTAAAAAGCTGCTGCCTCACAGAAGGATGGGCAATCTCCTCCCATGCGATTAACTGCCTCTGAAAACTTACCAGAGAGTCAGGTATGGGTCTGTTCCAACTTTGGCACACTACCACCACCATAACAACTATACTAAAGAGCTCTTTTGCCTAATGGTAAGAATCTGCACTGTAATCCCAAAGGCATGTGGCCTGAATCCACAGCTACTTTGTGGGAGAAGGATGGGAAATCTCCCGTGTGATATAAGCATCTGAAAACCCACCGGAGGGTCAGCTATGGGCCAGTTCCAAATCAATGGTACACAACAACAACAACGCGATACTAAAAGTCAACTTTTTATAAACTTGGGTAAAGATCACCATCTTTCTGTTTTATTCCCGTGGCTGCAGTTACACACACTGACAATCAGATTGGTTGTGGGTTCAGAGCTCCGCACTGCTCTCTGACACTACTGTAATGGCTGATTAATTACTACTTAAGAAGTTTCAATTATATTTTACCTTAATACCTCTGAGAGTTGTCAAACTATAATCACTGGAGGAGAAAGAGTTTCATCTTCATTTGATTATTCCCATAAAGCTAGAGGTCTGTTTAATTAGCTGTATTATAAATGTCAAATATTGCTACCTTGCATATAACAAAGAATTTTAGATAGATACTGTCCAATGTCCGAACTCATTGCAACACTCTGTAGAACTGAACAAAACCTTGCCAAGTTCTGGATCTTTCTCAAAATCACCAGATGTGTGAGACCATCTTTATGGATACTGTATCAAACCATCTTTTTTTTTTTTTTTTTGTATCAAACCATCTTGAGGTGTCCCTCACCCTCACTGGCTCTCTGCATCACCAACCATGTCCACTTCTAAACACATGTCCTTCCTGATGGTGTGGCTAGAGCCAATGAGTCAAACTATGTTCTGTTGTGATACGTAAGATTTTCATCCATCCACTCCAGGTGACCCCAGTAGTATTTGAAATATCAGTAGCATAGCCTCCAGCATCATAACAGTATACTGCCACTGCAGAGGTGGTTGTTGTTATGTGCTGTCCAATTTAACTACAGCTCTTAATGATCATACAAACAATAGCTCTGAACCCTACTCTATCCTGAGCCAATCTCACTCACTGTCTCTGATA